TCAGCTCTTCAGCTCAAGGCTAGCGCTCTACCACTTGAGCCACAGCGCCACTTCTGGCTTTTTTTTTCCTTTTTGCTTATGTGGTGCTGAGGAATTGAACCCAGGGCCTCATGAATGCAAAGCAAGCACTCTACCACTGAGCCACCTTCCCAGCCCTGCTTGTCGTATTCTTAAGCCTCAGTCTTTACTTCTGTCAAGAGCTAGCAATGGAAGCAGTACAGGTTAAAGCCCATAGCCATGGCTCTAATCCTTCATATACTGAGGATTTCATTCTTGTTGTCCAGATTCTTTGGGAATGTGGGAATGGATGCCTGGAAAGCCTTGGCACAGTGCCTGACAGATGGTGGCCATCTGACTCCTGGTACCTTAGGTCTACATTACATTTTAGCTTCCCATGTCTGCAAGTATGGTTCAAACTGTAGGCAGAACAATGGGCTAGCAAATATAAAGCCGAGTTCAAACCCCAGTACTGTTAAAAAAAATAAAATAGGCATATTCTTTTCCCAACTCTCTATGCCTCTGAGTGGACATGGAATCCAGGACCTTGGACATGCCAGGCAGATGCTCTACTATGCCCTAGCCCTTTTGTTTGTTTTTTTGAGACAGGGTCTTGCTAACTTTACTTAGCTAAGGCTAGAAGTCACTATCCTCCTACCACTGCCTTCCAAAGTAGCTGAGATTATAGGTGTGCACCACCACGCCTGTCTTGTTTTGTTTTCTTAATGTGGGTATTTATAGCATGACCCTGTCAAAAGTTGGCTTCAATTATTAGCATCCTTTTGCTTCCTTTCCCCATGGGACTCCCTTCCTGCCTCCCCTCCCCCATCCTGATTCTATGAGCTGACCCCTCTTGTCCTGTCTCTCAGGGCCACAGGCAGGCCACCGGGACCTCACCCCTGCCAAGATCCTTGAGATGCTCCTTGGCCTTCTCAGAAAGCGCACAGCATCACTGTAAGCCAGGTCCTGCAGGCTGTCAGGGAGGTGCATGGTGGCTGCTCTCTTCCTGGGGCCCCAGAAGTGAGGGCAGGGGTGCTGGGCACTGCCTGCTGGGTGCTGCTGCCTGTGTGCTCCAGGCCGAACCTAGGACTTTGCTGCTGCAAGACAATAGACAGGAGACATCAGGGTTAGGGTACAGGGAAGGGATACTGGAGTCCCAGGAGTGGGATTGGATGGGGGTTGGGAGCTGCTGAGACTGTTGAGTTGGGGGGGCAGGTTACTGAGGGTTCCAGAAGTGGGGATGGGCTGAACCTAGGGCTTCTAGGAATAGGGGTATGAAGTAAAAGGCCTACTTCAGTTCCCAGGAGTCAGGAATAAGGGGTGAGGGGACAAGGCTGTGCCAAGACCATGGGGGTCCTAGGAATGGGGGCCCTGGGGATAAGGGAGCTGCTGAGGGGGTGTCCTATGAGCTGCGGTTAAGAAGTGGGATTTCTGGGTCCCAGGAGGAGCATACAAAAAGGGGCTGCCTCACATCCCAGGAGTGACATCAGGTAAGGGGACTTGTAGGGGGGTCTCAGGAGCCAGGAATGTGGCATAACAAGGTTATGGGGGTCCTGAGAATGGAGGCAATGAGGATTAGGGGGTACTGAATGGTCTCAAGAATGGGGAGTATATGAGTAGAGGGGGTCCTGGGAGCTGGGCACAAGAGTTAAGGAAGTTTCTGGGGGGTCCTTGGCCTGGCATGAGGTAAAGGGGTGCTAAGCATCCTAGGAGTAGAGAGCGCAGCTAGAGACTCCTTTGGGTCCCAAGGGTCAGGAGTATAGTCAAAGGGGCTGAGGACAGGAGGGCCCCAGAGGCAGGGTACAGGGTGAAGCTATAAGGGGGTGTGAAGAGAGCTGGGGTGCTACCAGGCCATGTCCATTGACACAGGAGCCCCAGGACCCAGTTAAAAGACAGCCTTCTCTCCGTGAAAGGACATAGGAGGAAAGTTCTAGAAAGTTGTTGATGATTGGGGTGGGGGGGAAGTCCTAGGGGATATCAGAGCTCTGGAAAAGTCTGAGCCAGACAAAGCTCCCTTTTTTTTCAGAGGAAGGGCAACACCACGGAGAGAATATGGTAGGCGGTTCTGGTGATTTGAGGGGTTATTTCTCAGAATAAGGGGACCCCCTTTGGGCTTCCCCTCCATCTTCCTAAGGGTTCATTTTCTCAGGCTGGGATTCTGGGCCTCAGGCTTGTGGAGAAACTCCCAAACGAACGAGGGCCAAGGGCTACCTGCTTCGGCTCAGGCTCTCCCTGTGACGTGGGGTGGGAGTGCTCGCGTTTGAGGCTGATGCCGCCTGACAAAAAGGGCCACCCTGACACTGAAGGACCGCTGTGTGTCACCTGGAGACCGGCGCTTCCTTCAACCTGCCCTCTGCTTCGGGCTTCTGGTTCCGGACGTCGCCTCAGATTCCTTTTGCTCCCGCTTTTTCCCGCCTTTTCGCTCCTTTACAGCTGATTGGCCACGCCTAAGTCCCGCCCCTTTCGTTTCCGCCAACTCCGGAGCCACCTGGGGAGAGGGTGTGGTCTCGGCGGACGTTGGGCCGCTCGCCGTTGGCGGGCTGCGCGCGCACGCCCCAGCCCTCCGGCTTCTCGCGGCCGCCCCGCCCTTTTCCTTTCAAGACCTCTGACAAGGAGACACTGCTGAGGCGCATGCGCCTTGCCCATAACACCGAGGGTGGTGGTGGTGAAGGTTGGGGCACGCGTAATGAGCATGCGCATTCTGGATCGGGGGGGGGGTGGAAAAAAAAAAAACAAACCCCAAACAAATGGACCGCTCTCCAGAGCCCAGGGTTTTGCACATGCGTATTATTGCTGACTGAATCCTATCTGCGGCGGCTTTCTGCGCATGCGCAAGTCTCAATGACAGTCAAGCCTTGACTATAAGGTGAGGGGCGGGCTGGGGATTGCATGGCCCTGGGAGGGCGGCCCTGCATTCCCCTCTGTGGCCTTTCTGGGCATTTCTTATACTCCTAAGGTCCACCCCATCGGAAACAGTTATGCCACTACAGAGCTTTTTAAAAAAGCCTGCAAAATTCCCCAGACCCTGAGACCTCTGACCCTAACCTGGGACTCAGGCCAGCTGATCAGTGCGTGGGGAGGGACAGGCCAAAGGGGGTCCAGGAGTGCGGGGTTGGATGGGTTCTGCACCCCGCCTGGGGCAGCAGGACCTCGATGACATTTGACACTTGCTCATTTCCCTGTTTCAGGCTTTAGGGGGAAAAGGGTGTGGCCATGTGGCTTGTGACCCAGGGGGTCAGGGGGCTCAGGGTCCGAGTATGGCCCCTTTTGCCCACGCTCCTCGGGACCCCACGAGCCTTGTCTTCTCTGGCGGACAAGATGGGGGTGTACCGCAAGATGTGGAACCCCACGGAGCCCCGCGACTGGGCTCAGCAATACCGCGAGCGCTTCATTCCTTTCTCCAAGGAGCAGCTACTCCGACTCCTGACACAGGTACCTCCGGGCCCCGGGTTTATGAGCCTGGGGACTCCGTTTCCCAGCATGCCCTGCGGCGGAGGGGCCCTGCATGCTAGGGAGCACTGCCATGACGCCTCCTGGGAGTTGTAGTTCAAGGTCCCCTTGGAGTGCCAAGTGGGCGGGAGGTTAATTGTTGGGGACAGGGTGGGCACTATCGCTCTGATGGAGACAGTAAGTTGTTTCTGGACTCAAGCTAGTTCAGGTGCTCTCTGGGGTGTTGTTTTTCTTTCTGTGAAATGGGTGTAACTATCCTGATCATCATGGTTTCCAGTACCTAATAACAAACATCCCTACAAAGTCGCTAAACTGTAATCCTTACTATGATCGTTTTTGAGTTCTCATTCTATGGCACTGTGTCAAGCATCTGTCACATACTGAAGCGTCAGTACCACTATCCAGGTGGTACTGGCTTGCTCCATCCTGAGTGAGTGCTTCCTTACATTCCTCACCCATCTTGGTAGCTGAATCCACCTTGTCCTAGTCTTGGTTCCATTCCAGAGCTTGAGCTCTGCCCTTCACCGTCTATCAGACTTGTTATTATCAAGGATTCCACTCATCTATTCAAAAATTACTAAGCACCTGCTGTTTGTTCTGTCTTATACAAATAAATATACACTTACACATGCAAGAACAAGTGTGTATAGACACATTTAATTTCATCATACACATATCCCTCACCCTCTGAGGAACAGTCTATGAGCCTGTGCTCATGAACAAACATGCCTTTAGCCAGGTACCAGTGGCTCATGCCTGTAATCCCAGCTATTTAGGAGGCTGAGATATGAGGACTGCAGTTTGAAACAGCCTGGCCAGGAAAGTCTGTGAGACTTTTATCTCCAATGAACCACCAAAAAGTCAGAAGTGAAGCTATGGCTTAAGTGGTAGAGTGTTAGCTTTGAGTGGAAAAAGCTAAGGGACAGTGCGAGAGAGAGTAGAGAAAGTAGAGAAAGAGAGGAAAAAAGATAAGCTACCTATGTCTTCCCTTTGGTTCTGGAGACAACTCCTAGAATCAGCAAAAATAGCCTTGCTGGGGCTGGGAAGTTGGCTCAGTGGTAGAGTGCTTGCCTCGCATGCATGAAGCCCTGGGTTCCATTCCTCAGCAACACATAAGCAGAAAAAGTCGAAAGTGGTGCTATGGCTCAAATGGTAGAGCACTAGCTTTAAGCTGAAGGGCTGAAGGACAGCACCCAAGCCCAGAGTTCAAGCCCCATGACTAACAAAAAAAAAAAAAAGTTAAGAGTCCCAGAGTTGTAATCCTATGTGTGGGTTGTTAGGAAAAGAGTTCTTCCTGTGGGTATGGGAAAAGAGGCCTAAAGAAGGTTTGCTTCTTGAGTTGACAGGAGTTCCACTCCAGTCCTGCAGAGAAAGCGGCGATGGAGGAATTTGCGGCGCATGTGGACTTCTGTACACTGTTCCATTACCACCAGGTCCTGGCCCGGCTGCAGGTGAGGATGGCCCTTCCTGCCCTGTTGTGCTTGTGTGCTTGTTTGTGCACTTGGCATTCAGTCACCAGGGACTGGGCAGTGAACGGCAGAGAGGCAGCCTGTTCTGCATGGAGCATCCATTCCAGCTGGGGAGACAAGAAATCAATACAGTGTATGAACTAGGCTGGGCACTGGTGACTCACGCCTATAACCCTAGATACTCGGGAGGCTGAAATTTGAGAGCTATCTGAAAAATAAAAGGGAAAGTCTGGGGGGATTTGGCTCAGGGGGCTGAGCATCTGCCTAATAAGCATGAGACCCCCAAGTTCAAACCCCATTACTCCCTTTCCCCCTCAAAAATGATGCTGGGTTGGATTCAGTTCCATAGAGAGCAATGAAACAGATATGCAGGAAAAGAGGAATGATCACCTGGTGCCCTGATCTTTCATCCCAGCTACTTAGAAGGCTGAGATCTGATTATCATAGTTTGAAGCCAGCCAGGATAGGAAAATCCTTGAGACTATCATCTTCAATGACCTACCAAAAAAAAAAAAAAGCTAGAAGTGGAGGTGTGGCTCAAGTGGTAGATCACTAGTCTTGAGAAGAAAAAAAAAAACTCACAAAACTCAGGGATTAGCCCAGGCTCTGAGTTCAAGCCCCAGAATTGAAACAAAAAAAGAAAATACCAGTAGCTCACGCCTGTAATCCTGGCTACTCAGGAGGCTGAGAGCTGAGGATCACAGTTGAAAGCCAGATTGGGCAGAAAAACCTGTGAGCTCATATCTCCAATACACAACTCACCCCCCCCCCCACTGAAAAACCCAAACCCCTCAAACTGAAAGTAGAGCTGTGGCTCAAGTGGTACAGTATTAGCTTTGAGGAAAAAAAAAGGTGGGGGGGGAGGGGGAGCTGAGAAGGTGGCTCAGTGGTAGAGTGCTTGCTTCTCATGCATGAGGCCCTGGGTTCAATTCCTCAGCCCCACATAAGCAGAAAAAGCTGGAAGTGGCACTGTGGCTCAAGTGGTAGAGTGTTCGCCTTGAGCTGAAGAGCTGAGGGACAGTGCCCAGGCCCAGAGTTCAGGCCCCAACAACACCATCAACAAAAAAGCTCAGGGACAGCATGCAGGTCCTGAGATTCTAGGGCTTGAATCAGTACCATAAAAAAATAAATCAATAAATAAAGGCTGGGCGTCAGTGACTTAGGCCTGGAATCCTAGTTACTCAGGAGGCTGAGATCTGAGGATCATGGTTCAAAGCCAGCCTGGGCAGGAAAGTCTGTGAGACTCATCTCCAATAAAGCATCAGAAAACCAGAAATGGTATTTGTGGCTCAAGTGGTAGAGCACTAGCCTTGAGCTGAAGAGCTCAGGGACAGCGCCAGACCCAGAGTTCAAGCCCCATGACTGGGAAAAAAAAAAAAAAAACAGTAATGAGATGAGATGAGGGTCTTGTTTTAGAACAGGTGGCAGGAGGTGGTTGGGGAAGGGCTCCCTGAGGAGGTGTGTGTGGGGGGGAGGGAACTGAGGGAAGGGACCAGCCCTGATGCATTATGGGAGAGAGTGTTCCAAACAGAGGGAAGAGCCAGGCCCAGAGTGGTGAGTGCATCTAGAGTGTTTGGGAACGGTGGAGTCCATGCTGCTGGAGGGAGGGAGGAAGAAGGGAGGACCCGGGGGAGACGAAGCAGGAGGCTGCTCTCCTGGGCCCTGGTGACCAGGGTGAGACCATCCTCAGGAGAACTCCACTTTGACTGTGGGGAGACGAGGTAGGAGCTGGAGGCTGCTCTCCTGGGCCCTGGTGTCCAGGGTGAGACCATCCTCAGGAGAACTCCATTTTGACTGTGAGCAAGTGGGGAGGAGAGGAGGGCTGGTGCTGATGAAGGTGTTGGCAGGGTGTCTGTGACTGCCTGCTGGTAGGTGGGAATGGCCATCAGGCCGTAAGGCCTATTATGGCTTATTACATTGGTCCAGGGAGAGATAATGGAAGGGAGAGGGGGGGAAGAGTGGCCTGATGCTGGTTGGAAGGTATCCACATTTTCTAGGGGGGGGGAGGAGAGGATGGGGAGATGTAGGCCCAGCTGCCACCTGCTGAGATACAGAGGGCCACCGTGGGGGTGGAGAGCCAGATCTCAGGGAAAAGGGACAGCTCAGTTTGGGCTGAGTTCTTGGAGTTGCTTATTTGGTCAGCCAGGTGCAGAGATGATTGACAGTGAGCATGGTTGTGCACGCCTTAAATCCCAGCACTTGGAAGGTGGAAGCAAGGAGAACAGAAAGTTCAAGACAAGCCTGGGCTCTGTGATGACCGCTTGAGGCTTCTTCCTGCTTCATAGATGGCCAACCCCAGACAGGAAAGTCCTTGAGACTTTTCTCTCCAATGAACCAGCAAAAAGCTGAAAATGGAGCTGCAGCTCAAGTGGTAGAGCACCAGCCAACCTGGCAACAAACAAACAAAAATAAAGAGCAGGCAGATGCTTAAGTTAATGCGCTTGTATTTACCAGGCAGGAGGTTTTCAGTGCATCCCAGGGCTGGGGCAGCTGCGGAGTCGGGGGTGGGGGTGGGGGGGGGGGGGAGAGGGTGACAGAGGATGCTGGGACAGCCTGGGCTGGACAACATCAGAACAGCCTTGGTTCCAACACTGGCTGTGTGGTGACCCAGAGGCGGCCTCTCTCTGATCCTTGCTTCTCTTTCTTTATTCATTCACTGACTTTACTCCATAAATATTGATTGAGCGCCTGCTGTGTCTCCTTTATGGATGGAGGTCGGGCACAATAGGGGAGCAGGAGGGGTGTGTGTGTGTGTGTGTGTGTCTCTCTCTCTCTCTTCTGGGGGGGGGTTGTTCCTTCTGAGAGGAGAGAGGGACAGGATAGATCGGGCGTGGGGACCAAGCTTCTAAGCGTGGGGACCAAGCTTCTAAGGATGTTTGTAACATCTTTCCATAATCTAGGGAGCTGAAAACAATAAAAATTGAGCGGGGCGCTGGTGGCTCACACCTGTAATCCTAGCTACTCAGGAGGCTGAGATCTGAGGATCTCAGTTCAAAGCCAATCTGGGCAGGAAAGTCCATGAGACTTTTTTTTTTTTTTTTTTTTTGCCAGCCAGCCCTGGGCTTGAACTCTGGGTTTGGGTCCCTGAGCTTCTTTTGCTCAAGGCGAGCACTTTACCACTTGAGCCACAACACCACTTCTGGCTTTTTCTGTGTATGTAGTACTGAGGAATCAAACTCAGGGCTTCATGCATGCTAGGCAGGCAATCTACCACTGAGCTACCTTCCCAGCCCTTCCGACTTTCTCTGAGTAGTTTATTGGAGATAAGAGTCTCATGGAGGGGCTGGGAAGGTGGCTCAGTGGTAGAGTGCTTGTCTTGCATGCATGAGGCCCTGGGTATGATTCCTCAGTTCCACATAAGCAAAAAGAAAAAAGCCGGAAGTGGCGCTGTGGCTCAAGTGGTAGAGCGCTAGCCTTGAGCTGAAGAGCTGAGG